TTGATCCTTTTGCACTGGAATGTTTATCTATAGAGCTTTGTCTTATGTATGTCTATATGGGGTTTTTTTATTAAAGACTGAGCCGACGGTTTTTTGAAGCCAGAAAAATATATGAATGGATGAGTAAATTAGAGGGTATATGCACTGTGATGCTTGTTTTGTGATTAAAAGGCTTGTTCTGCTTGAAATTTGGAGGTGTCTCGTGCAGGTTTGTGGAGAGTTCTATGATATCTGATGCTATATGTGATGCTGCGTGAAAAACTTGTTTATGTCTGTATCATAATGATAATAAGCTGTGTGTGTGTGTGGGTGGTGGTGGTGGTGGTGGGGGGGGGGGGGGGGGGGGCGGATGCACCGGACGGCAGAAGTTGAACTGAATATTACATTGTAGATTTCATGTGGAAGAATGTTGTTAATCTTCTTTTATCTTAAGCGTGAGATAAAAGCCCCTAAAATCTTGAGACTATTTGATTGCCTTTAAAAGTTCTTGGAAAAGAAAAACTTGCAAAAGAGGAGAGCTTTTGTATTGAAGAATTAAGAAAATTTTGTTTCATGTATTCAGAAACAATATATTTTGACTTACTAGATAAGTCAGACGTGAGATTAATAAGAATAATCCTAAATGGTTTAGGGGGATAATTTGATATGAATAGCTAAATATGCGGTCAAAGTCGCCACTTGCATAAAATTATAATGCACCGTCATCAAACAAAGGGGAAAATGGAGGGGTATGAGTTTGTTCAGTAGAAACCACATTTAAAACCATGTTTGCTATATCCACTACCAAACAGTAACTTTGGGAGTTGGATTGTCGAAAATGCCCTTTTGGACTTGGCCTGGTTTGGTTTGGGAGAAGGGCAATTTAGTCCTCACACACCCTCAAAGTTACTGTTTGGAAAAATTTGTAAGTGAAAAATTTTGGTTTGGGAGAAGGGCAATTTAGTCCTCACACACCCCCAAAGTTACTGTTTGGGAGTGTGAATAGTTGGACCCAAACCAAAACAAAGTGGTTCTATAAAAATCTATTTTTTTAAGTTCAATCAATACAAAAACCATCTTTAAAATGGGTTCTTATTTGAATTAATCGTTTTGACATATTTTCTGATGATAATTCGCATGAAATTTCCTAAACACCCTTAAGAACATATGTTTCAGCTAGGCCTGTCCATCCGGGCCGGCCGGGCCGGCCCGGCTCGACCCGGCCCGGAAATCCGGGCCCGGGCCGGGCAAAACCGGGACCCGGACCCGGATTTTTTTTATTTTTTTTTATTTTTTTCCAAAATTTTTTAATGTTATTTAACTTATAAATTATAAAAAAAAGACAAGAAAAATAACAAAAACAATAATTTTATTAATTACTTAAAATGACATAAATTACAAATAAGAAATGATAAAAACATATTCTTTATTAATAATTGATAAATCAGTTACAAATTACAAGTACAAATTTATTTTGGAATTAATCGCATCACAATAGATAAGTAAATCCCAACTAGGTTGGCACCTACTCACCTATATCACTATCATTTGCAGTTATTTCCAAAATAATTATTTACAAATTTTAAGCTAAGATATAAAAACTACAATCTATTCTTTATATCTATCTGCTAGTCCCAATTCTTCAAATTTATCTTCAATTCCAGCCATCCGATCGATGCCTTGCGTTCGCTTCCCGTACCTCCACCAATCTTGTAGGCACATCACCGCTTGTACAGTATACGGATCCAAGCATGTCTTGTGATCATCGATCAAACGACCTGCTGTGCTGAAGGCGGATTCCGAAGCTACCGTCGAAACCTGCACTGTTAGTAAGTCACGAACCATGGTGGAAAGTATAGGATATGAAACTGATCCATATACTTTCCACCATTGCAAAATATATATCTAAAGCATTTCCTTGACATCTAACTAAAGAAGCAGAAAAATATTCATCTATTTCAGAAACCTCCGATGATGACGATCCAAGTCCAGATCCACCAGTTAGCTCGGCTACCATTGCATACCTATCAAAACTTACACTTTTACCTCGGGCTCGGGATGAGCTCGAAGAAACCGAAGCTGCAGACTGTTGTGCAGCTACACCATGTCTAGCTGCATACTCATCATATAAGGTTTGAAAATAATTTCTAATAAGTAAATGATGAGTGGTAGCATTCAGGGTGGTTCCATCATCTAAGTCTATAACCTGTCCACCATACAATGACTGTAACAAACTTCGAAGGCTAATATCTGTAATAGTTATAGGTTTTATTGTTATATATATTAAAGAAAAAGTAAAAGAACTTTTATGCAAAAAGTTGTTGGAGGGTTATAATAGCAAAAAGGTCTTTATAAATATACAAAACCCTACCTTTTCCCGTCAGTCTCTTTTCCTCCTCCCGTCTGTGTTCCGCCACACTAAAAAAAAAAAGGGATTAAAAAAAAAGTGAAAAATCGAAGAAGAAGAGAAGAAGCACCGAAGTGGTGGAAGGGGACCTCGGAGTTAAGAAGAAGGCTGAGAAGATTTCCTCCCTCTTATTGGAGTAAGTATCTTTTTGGTAATTTGATCTATTGTCAATTATTAGTAGTTTTTATTGAAAAATAATAATAGTTAAGAAGAATACTCTTGTGATAGATGCTAGATGAGATGGATTACAGTTCAGATTGGATTTCATACTAGTCTTAATGTATGAGTGATATGAAGACTCATTACAGGTATTAGTTATATAAATTTTTTGGGGAATTATTTACAACAATGACGGAAGAAATCCAATATGAAATAATTAGTAGTCTCTATATCCTTACCACAAGAATTTTGAAGTGATATAACCACATTAGTATTAATTTTATAATGATGGAAAATCGTGGATGGTTAGTTTTTTTCTTCAGAAAATAGAATATGTAAGCATATCGACTATTAAGATAACTGAGAATGCATTACTTGGTCTGGAGTCTGGTATTTACATTATTATTTGTTTTTATTCTTTAGGGAATCCTAGAGGCTCCTCAAAAGCATCGTGAGAGTTGAACTTTGGATTATCAGTTCGTATTTTTGTAAGTGGTAAATTTATGCATTGTGCATTGCGTATTTTTCCTACAAAATGATAGTAAATATATGTGGATTTGTTTCCTGATGGATTATATCCTTCGTATGATTTACTGGTATATCATTCGTTGACTAGTTTGATTTTGTGATGCTCATGGATATTTGGTATAAGCTTATGCTTATTTTCTTTGTCAATTATGTCTTTTCATATAGTACTAGATTGAGATGCATATGTAGTTGATTGATTTTACTATTGGTTGGTCTTCGGCATTTTTGGTATAACATACTTGGTTATATGAACTTTGTTCATTTTTTTTTAAACATAGGCATCTCAAGTCAATATGCCGGTATATGTCGGATATAAGCAAGCTATTAAAACATGACTCAATGTGCCTCTATGAGGTTTTATTTTAGCGCTAAGAGCCCAAATTGGGTCTCACCGTCCCGGAACCACGGGCTTAATAATTGTGGGGTTTACCGAGTCAACCGAAGTATGAAGTGTTGACCGCATTGAGACGTAGCATGCTTATTTCTATTCCATGATTTCTAATTTTCTTAAATATTTGTATCAAATACTAGAGTTCATTAATGATTCTATATCATTCTTATATTTTGTTTATTTCTAGTTGTAATATTTTAGTTTTGCAAAACCAGTGTTTAATGTATGAATTTATCCACTTATTGAGTTGTGAACTCATTGTGTTATTTCTATTCTTTTCAGAGACTCGGGATTAGGTAGAATTGAGGATTGTCAAATTCTTAGAACGAAGCAAAGAATAATTCGAGATTGTTATTGTCTTCTAGGCAAAGGTTAAATAAAGTCTTTTATGTTTAGATGATGAATTGAGAGTTTGTAATAATGAGATTCTTTCTTTAGGTTGAGATTTATTTGGAGTTGAGGAATATTTATTTTTATCAAGTTAATTGGCTTAGTTGACTTTTGGGATTATAGAGAATATTTGTTGTTGGTTTTAGTTCAATGAAGAGATTTGTTTTAGTGTTCTTTTAATGAATGTATATTTTGGAGGATTTTTCACAGGTTTAGTCCGGCTCTAATATTCCTTTGAGGTTCGTAAATTGGGGTCGTGACAGAATGGTATCAGAGCTTAGGCTGTAGGTCCTACTTGTGTTTGGAGATGATATAAAAAAAATAAAAATAAAAAATATTGGATTTTTATGTGAAAAAAAAAATGGAAACTTGAATACTTATTTTGAAGTATGATCAAGGATGTAGGGTGAAATTGTTGGATCAAATGGTAACACAATATCAAAGTGATTTTTGAGGTATAGCCATAGATACTAACAAATATTTGGACATGAGTTCGTATGAGTTAAAGGTTCACTATGGGCAACATCATGAACGATTAGGATAGGCGATGATAATGTATATGCATTATATGGTTTTGTGCTATCATAATCAAAATTTTGCTATGGACAAATTATCCTCGTTATTTAAAGTTGTCCTCGTGATTTCATGAAAGATTTGGGAACATTGTCAATATGAGATGTGTGTCATACAATCTGATCAGAGAAAAAAAAATTAAGTACAAGAAGCATATTGACAAGAGGAAAGGAAATTAGTTAGAACTAAGGAAAGTCATAACTTTATCATTCATTGTTGTCATCGAAAGATGAATATGGTGATGGTGCCTCGAGTAGAAAGTTAAATATTGGCATTGTATTTTGGCTACTAAGGAGACACATATATTGCAGACATAGAAGGCTAAATGTTGATATTTGAGTTAGGGATTATGGAAAGATGCTTTCTTAAGATTCAAACATGATTGAGAGAACCGTGTCATAATAGAGTAAAATCTTTTGGTGGTTTATGAAAAATTAAGCTGGAGATAAAATAGGATTTGCACTATGAGTATGTGTTCGCGATAGGATTTGTGTAAGGACCATGAATTTTTGATATTGATTTAAATAATTTTCTGGTGTTTTAAATATTAAATTATTATTTGTTTTCTCTGGTGTACGTCAGACTTAGGAGAAGAACAGGTCCAGCTGGAAGATCGTCAGGAGCCAGAGAATTCTCAGTAGGAGCGCCTCGCAGACGGAGCAGAAGGAGTCGAAGCCTCTTCCTTGATGGTTCCAGTTTACTTTTGTAGTTCTTTCTATTTTCGCCTGATTGATGTATTTTGTATCTCTTCAGTATTCATTTGTTCAGATTTGTATAAGGGCATGTTTGACCCGAATTTTATGTCCTGGATGATATTCTATTTGTGATATGTAACTTTTCCATTCTGAGTTGTCATTATATTCTTGCTATGTGTGATCGGGGACCTGTGACTTCGTATTGTATTTATTTCCAGACGCTTAGCGTATTAGGTTGAGAAGAAGAGGTCTAGCACTTATCTCTTCTCAGTCTAATACGTCGCGGGCTTGTTCACGCTCCGATTCCCCGGTATTTTGGGAAGCGGGGCGTGACAATTTGAGATTATGATTGTTTGTCCTTAATAATTTGATCTTGAAGAGAAAATAGTAGAAGTGACAAATTGTTCTATATATAATCTATCATGGAAGTACGGAACCGTATAAAGTTGTGAAAATTATTTTGTAATAGATATTATAAAGTTTGTCTATTTGGTCTTATGACTCGTTGCATGAACTTTTGTTCTTAAGTTGTTTCGTTGATATTAATACCTCCAGATGTCCCGATGTTAGGCAAATAGGCAAATTAGTTTGATTGACCGGCAAGTGGAAAAGAATTAATTTTGAGTTGATGTTTTATTTTGAAGTCTGATCGAGGACAATATGAATATTATTGGATCAAATTTAGGTATAGAGGTATATGATTTTAGATTCATGGATTACATAATTCTTTTTGTTTAGATTTCCTAGAGACAAAGGAATTTGTTCAGCTTGGTTGGAGGCATATTTGACATATGTGACTCATGAAAATATTATCTGATAATATATGCTATCATGATAAGGAATATGCCAGGGATTAGTTATTAATGATTATTATGATTAAACTTTCATGCTAAATGTATTTATTTTTGGTGATGTTAGGTTGCGATGACACTTGATATAAGAGATTGTCATTTGAGATTTATAGAAAAGAAATTTGGTGGTTTATGTTGGGATGTTTTAGTAGATAGTATGTCAACTCAGTTGGTTAAATGATTATAGAAAATTCTATGTATGAATTCTAGTTAGAAACATAGAAATATATAGACTTTATAAATGTGGAAGACTATGAATGCTATTAGTTTAGATTTTCCAAGGAATTACACATATAGCTTGCGTAGCATAATACAGGGTAAAATATGTGGCTATTACTTAAATATTTGCCTATGTGCATAACTTGAATATTTCATAGATTAATGTTACTGATGATTGTTATTATGAGTTATGAAACTATTCCTTGATGACACCAACCAGATGACAATACATTGGTAGACTTCATAAATTTTGTTTGGTGAATGAGATAGTCTTATCATAACTGGATCAATTTGTAGTAGCCTCTTTGATGTTGTATGGATATTTTTCTAGAGTCGGCATGAGCAAAAGAATACCACATTATGATAGAGCTAAAATTTTTATATAAAGTTATTACATTTTGAATTTTGATTAAATATTGTTTCTTTTAGTTTGTTAATATATAGCTTTCAATGTCTCTGGACCTATGTTGAATGTGCGATTTATTTTTTTTAGTGTTCTAACAAGTGCAAGATAGAATACCATAAGTTGAAGGACACTCAAAAATGTTTTTGCAATGTTTGATATATGACAAATTTTTGCATAATTGAATAAATGTGTAGTTGTTGGAGAGTATTTCTTGCTTTTATACCCAATACATTATTTTGGTATAAGAATTTTGATGCTAGCCCACTTAGGTTTATGGGGTAGATGCTGAAAATGTATTAAGCTGTACCATATTATTTTCCCCTTCAGTCATCATGTAGCACATAGTGAAAACTTATGAAGTTATGACTTTGATAATAGCTCTCAATTGCTTTTAACGTACATTGAATAGGTGGTTTATCCTGAATGAGAAGTGCAAAAAAAAAAGCCTCTTGTGAAACAACTGATTTGTTTATGCACTTATTTCATGATCAATGGGTTTTATTAGTATAAAATAATTTTTATAAACCATTTTTGAATCATTCTTTACAAATGGGAATATATATGGATCTTGGAAGATTAAGTCATATGAGTCGTAAAGTTGAAGGTATTTACACTGATTATTAGTATCTTGTGAATTATATTAACCATGTAAGAGACATTGTATAAGAAGAAAATGGTCCAAACCAATGAAAGTTTATGACTTTAGTTTTGATTATCACCTTAGTCAGAGGAATGTAAAGGTAGATTTCTTGAGTGCAAAGTCAAATAATAGTATTTATATCTTAATTGCTAAGAAGAAAGATATATTGGAGGACTTGAATAGGCTAGATTTGATATTCAGATTTATGACTCTGCAATGATGTTTACTTATTTTAGAATTCAAATTATCTTGATCGAAAGGATTGTGACAGTACATTGTTGTGATATTTTGACAGTGGAAAATTATTTGAAGGTAAGAAAAGGTTCATGGTAAAGACTTTGTTGTTCACATTGGTGAGTTTAAATTCAAAATAGCCTATGTACCCTGAATGGTCCGAAGCTAAGGATAGAAATTTAGAAGTCAATCTCTTATTAATACAAGTTCTATTCAGACCGTACAAAGAGGTATAGAGATTTGTAAGAAGTATTCCGATTGATTTACATGAAGTATAGAATGCAGATTATGTCTTTGTGCTTGATGCATTAGCTTGTGAATGTTGAGCATTATAAGAATGTAGACCTTGTTTAACCTTTTTATATTTTTATGGCAATGAGAGTAGACAATCATGCATCTTTTCTGACTGGGTTTAGGAGTCCGAATAGTAATGATCATATATATTAAAGAGATGTGAGTTATGTTGAATACTAGTGACTATAATATCTAATAGAGAATTTAGGTTTCATTCCAAATGTGGGAAAACGTGAACAACACTTCAGAACAAAATTCAATTTGAGCTGTTATACTTAAAAACAGAAGAATAGTTGGAGAAGACTATATAAAGTGTGGGAGCATATCCTTTGTGATTACTGTTGGAACTTGAAAGGTAGATGGAAAGCATATTTTCCTTGCTATAGTTTTTCTATAACAATAGTCACCAATCTGGTACTTTTATGTTCGCTTAATAAAAAAATTTATTGGTGGAATATGTAAATATCTATTTACTGGTAACAAGTGAAAGAAAGAATGTTGTTCAATTATGAAATTGGGCATTGAATGTTTCAGTGTTGTAGTGTATTGGTGAACCTAATGATATCTTGGACTATGATGATGATATCTTGGACTATGATGAGTCTCTTCGGATGATAGAAAGTTCTACATATACGAAATAGTTTTTTTTTAATTTGAACTAAGAGGATTAAATATTGTGGTTCTAGTCAAGATTTTATGGAAAATTTATTGTTACCTATATGGAAGCATGAAACTACGATCAAGGAAAAAAATCGTAGTCGTTCGAGTACTTGAGAATAATCAAGTTTTGAGGACAAAACTTCTGTTAAGAGGGATAGTATGTAATAGTTATAGGTTTTATTGTTATATATATTAAAGAAAAAGTAAAAGAACTTTTATGCAAAAAGTTGTTGGAGGGTTATAATAGCAAAAAGGTCTTTATAAATATACAAAACCCTACCTTTTCCCGTCAGTCTCTTTTCCTCCTCCCGTCTGTGTTCCGCCACACTAAAAAAAAAAGGGATTAAAAAAAAAAGTGAAAAATCGAAGAAGAAGAGAAGAAGCACCGAAGTGGTGGAAGGGGACCTCGGAGTTAAGAAGAAGGCTGAGAAGATTTCCTCCCTCTTATTGGAGTAAGTATCTTTTTGGTAATTTGATCTATTATCAATTATTAGTAGTTTTTATTGAAAAATAATAATAGTTAAGAAGAATACTCTTGTGATAGATGCTAGATGAGATGGATTACAGTTCAGATTGGATTTCATACTAGTCTTAATGTATGAGTGATATGAAGACTCATTACAGGTATTAGTTATATAAATTTTTTGGGGAATTATTTACAACAATGACGGAAGAAATCCAATATGAAATAATTAGTAGTCTATATCCTTACCACAAGAATTTTGAAGTGATATAACCACATTAGTATTAATTTTATAATGATGGAAAATCGTGGATGGTTAGTTTTTTTCTTCAGAAAATAGAATATGTAAGCATATCGACTATTAAGATAACTGAGAATGCATTACTTGGTCTGGAGTCTGGTATTTACATTATTATTTGTTTTTATTCTTTAGGGAATTTATTTTCTTTGTCAATTATGTCTTTTCATATAGTACTAGATTGAGATGCATATGTAGTTGATTGATTTCACTATTGGTTGGTCTTCGGCATTTTTGGTATAACATACTTGGTTATATGAACTTTGTTCATTTTTTTTTTAAACATAGGCATCTCAAGTCAATATACCGGTATATGTCGGATATAAGCAAGCTATTAAAACAGGACTCAATGTGCCTCCATGAGGTTTTATTTTAGCGCTAAGAGCCCAAATTGGGTCTCATCGTCCCGGAACCACGGGCTTAATAATTGTGGGGTTTACCGAGTCAACCGGAGTATGAAGTGTTGACCGCATTGAGACGTAGCATGCTTATTTCTATTCCATGATTTCTAATTTTCTTAAATATTTGTATCAAATACTAGAGTTCATTAATGATTCTATATCATTCTTATATTTTGTTTATTTCTAGTTGTAATATTTTAGTTTTGCAAAACCAGTGTTTAATGTATGAATTTATCCACTTATTGAGTTGTGAACTCATTGTGTTATTTCTATTCTTTTCAGAGACTCGGGATTAGGTGGAATTGAGGATTGTCAAATTCTTAGAACGAAGCAAAGAATAATTCGAGATTGTTATTGTCTTCTAGGCGAAGGTTAAATAAAGTCTTTAATGTTTAGATGATGAATTGAGAGTTTGTAATAATGAGATTCTTTCTTTAGGTTGAGATTTATTTGGAGTTGAGGAATATTTATTTTTATCAAGTTAATTGGCTTAGTTGACTTTTGGGATTATAGAGAATATTTGTTGTTGGTTTTAGTTCAATGAAGAGATTTGTTTTAGTGTTCTTTTAATGAATGTATATTTTGGAGGACTTTTCACAGGTTTAGTCCGGCTCTAATATTCCTTTGAGGTTCGGAAATTGGGGTCGTGACAGAATGGTATCAGAGATTAGGCTGTAGGTCCTAGTTGTGTTTGGAGATGATATAAAAAAAATAAAAATAAAAAATATTGGATTTTTATGTGAAAAAAAAAATGGAAACTTGAATACTTATTTTGAAGTATGATCAAGGATGTAGGGTGAAATTGTTGGATCAAATGGTAACACAATATCAAAGTGATTTTTGAGGTATAGCCATAGATACTAACAAATATTTGGACATGAGTTCGTATGAGTTAAAGGTTCACTATGGGCAACATCATGAACGATTAGGATAGGCGATGATAATGCATAGGTCCAAAAGTAGCATCCAAACGATATTTATCAAAAAAATTTTGAATATTTAAAATTTGTAAAGCAACTAAAGTAATGGTTGGATAATAACAGCCAGATAATAACATGGTAGCATCATAAAAAACTTATAACATTTCATTTAAATTACATATAACTGTCCATTCATCTTCAGTTATTCCATAAGTGCTATCAGAACTAGAACTAGAAGCATAATAGTTTATAAAATCAGTTATAATGTTTTTATATTCTATTGCTACACTTAATATTGCATATGTGGAATTCTACCTATGGTCAACATCTTTTGGAATTAGTCTAGGCTTTACATTTTTTTCTTTTATAAAATTGTTTCCATCTTTTAAGTCTTTGTTTAGAAGCACTATGCATGTAAGCAATTGTTCTAACCTTTTCTATCATGGGTTTAATTTCAGTAAATGCACTTTGAACAATTAAATTTAAAATATGACAGATACACCTAATATGAAAAAGATCACCATGACATGGTAATGATAAAGATGATCTGATAAAATCAACAACTACATTGTTATTACTTGTATTATCTAGTGAAAGAGAAAATATTCTTTGTGAAATTTCTAATTTCATAAGTTCTTCAATTATTAAATTTGCAACATTAGCACCAGTATGTGACTCTTCTATTGCAATAAAAGAAACAACTCTTTTAAACATTTGCCAATTTTCATCAATCCAGTGTGCTGTGATACATAAATATCCAGTTTGTGCTCTAGATGTCCAAATATCAGAAGTTAAAGAAAATTTACAGTTTAAATTTTTAAAATAAGAAATTATTTTTTCTTGTTCCTGTTGATAATATTTTAAAATATCACGTTGACAGGTTTGACGAGAAATTTTTTTAAATGCAGGATAAAAACCATCTCTAAACATATCTTCAAATTCATCATCTTCTACTAATTTAAAAGGAAGGTTTTTAAGAATGATAAACCTGATTACGCATTTCCTGGCTCTGGCAGCGTCATAGTTCCAACTACCGAGACTACCAGAAGAGGAGGATTGAGAAATCATAGATTGTCGGATATCACCTTGAGGAGTCTGGCCTTTGTTGTGTTTATCTAAATGGCGTTTGAGGTGGTTGGTGCCGCTCTTATGATGAGCTTGAAAAATCTTGCCGCACAAAGCACACTTAGCCTTCTGGGTGAGGATCCTACCGTGTTCATCCTTGGTGACGTCGATCTTCTCGTAAAAATTCCACACATCGGATCTTGGCCGTTTAGGAGCTCTTGGTGCAGATTCGTCGCCACCGGATTCGGGATTAACTTCGGTAGGAGGACTGATAGTAGGAGGACTCATAGTAGGAGGACTCAATTCAGGATCGGGAGATATGTTTTGCTCTTCATAATCAGATCCGGAAGCCATTTGGGGATTGGATTAGAAAGTATAAATAAGAGAGTATAAGAGTATAAGAGAGAGTATAAGAGTATAAGAGAGAAGAGATGAGTTTTTGGTGTGAAGAAAACAAATGAAAACCCCCCTCTATTTATAGAACCAGCCCCCTAGGTAAATGACCAAAATAACCTCACAAAATAGCCGTTTTTTGACCGTTTTTGAGGGCAAAACGGTCAAAGGGCCAATCTGACCGTTGTTACCGGGCCGGGACGGGCCGACCCGGCCACAACGGTCACTTATGTGACCGTTTTTGGCCGGTCGGCCGGCCCAGCCGGCCGTTTTCATACACAACGGTCACCATTGGGGTGACCGTTGTGGCGCCCCGGCCCGCGCTTTTTTCCGGCAACAGTCACGATTTGTGACCGTTGCCGACCACGGGCCGGCTCCCGACCCGGCTACCCGGTCCGATGATGCCGGCACCGTACTGTTCCGGGCGGCAGGGCCGGGCCGGGACCGCTGAGGCACCCGGATTCAGCCGCTAAGTTCGATTAGGAAGACATGTCACATACCTGGCATGTGTATTTCTAAAAGTATTTAGAAAATCACAGTCGAATTTTAATTAGAAATTAGATCAAAGTGATTAACTACAATAAGAACGCACTTTAAAGATGGTTCCTCTATTTTCTCAAGAAAAAAAAAGATGGTTCCTCTATGAATTAGCCTTTGAAAGTACAATCAACTGATGTTAAAGTCGCCCGTGGAAAACAGAGCTAGAAAATGAGTTAGATAGTTGATTATATGGATTAAACGGGTTATATACGGGTCGACCCTAAGTACCCGTTTAAATAAACAGGTAGTTAGGATTAACCCATATATGTAGGGGGTGTGCAAACGGTCGGTTCGGTCGGTTTTTATCAAATTTTGAACAACCAAACCGAACCACCCATTATTCAAAACCGAACCGAACCGTTACAAGTAGGTTCGGTGCGGTTCGGTTCAGTTTGTTTAGTCCTAACCTTCAATAAAGTTTGTATTATGCAGGGGAAATCAATTGTTCAGTATTATGCATGAAGAAAAGAATGCTAGCTGAAGAGATTACCTTCGTTGATCTTTTGATAGTAGCAAGCCCCTGATATTAACAAATTTTAAAAAAATAAAAAGAATCACAGAAGAGAAGAACACAAACCTTGCATCTTCTTAAAAAATTACAAACTTCAGTAAAAAGACTCATCTTTATACAAAACCAGGCACATTGGATACCTCACTGACCAACAACAGAAAACCGTAGCGAAATCAATGACATCAGAACCCTCACCAAAACAATCAACAAAGTCGAATTGAGCATCGAAAATCTCCCGCAACAAAAAGCCCTAAAAATAAGGAATAACCAAAATGAAATCATAAGGAAGAGAAATTTACCTATAAAGAACGTCGAAGGTGACATAAACCCTAGCGTGCTCGATATGGCTCAGATCATAAGCAATGACCCCGCAGACGTACATCCCCACCCTCCCTTCAACCCTAGGCTTGAACATCTCCTTCGATATCGACATCGTATTGTATAAATAAACCTCGGGAGCAGGCGGACTCCCATTATTAGAATCAGCATCATTGGGTTTCGTGGAGGGAGAACGAGAGGCCAAACTGAGGGTTCTTGATCTCGATCTGAAGAGGAGAGAGCGGAGATTTGAGTGGAGATGGGGTTTTGCTGTCGATTTCGTGAAGGCGAGAGAGGGGCAGAGGAGGGTCGAGCTCTTTAGGAGCGTTGCTGCCATTTTTCTTGGAGGACTAGTGAGCACGGAGGTGGGCGGCGAAGGGGGTCGGAGCAGGTTGCTGGTGGAAGAGGAAGTGAGAGAGGCGGACAGAGAGTGAGAGAGAGGAATTGAGGAAGAGGTACTAAAAAGTTTGGCTGGGTTAATTGGTATTGGGTATCGGTCGGTTCGGGCGGTTCGGGTTGAAAAGTTTTCAACCCGACCCGAACCGCCTTACAAATAAAACCGAACCGAACTATTAATTTCGGATCGGTTCGATCGGTTTTTTCGATTTGGACCGAACCATGCTCAACCCTGTGATATATGACCCCAACCCATACATGTTTGACAGGTATCCGTTAATAACGGTCCGGGCCGGGCCGGGTCGGGTAGATAAAAAATTATCCCTAGCGCTAAACATTTCCCAAACGAATATTTCAGGAGTTAATTCGGTCAATTTATATATATAAGCAACTGTCGACGTAATCTCCTTGGTTGAATCCAAGAATCGAGCTTTGCTAGTTCTGAACCTAAGTGAAGCTCTCTCAAAGCCCAAGGTACCTCCTTTTTAATCTGAATCTATTCCTCTTTAGCTTCTTGTTTCTCTCATTTCTCCTTTTCTGATCCTAAAATTTCTGCTTTCTTGAAAGCCCTAATCTTGTTCGGTTTAGGGAACGTTTGAACGATAAATCTCAATTAGTGTTGATTATAATGGAATTGGGGAGAAATCCTAACATAACATTAGGATTTGGACTTAGATTCGTTTTCTTCTTCTTACGACTTCGAACGTATTTGAAATTTTCAATTGATGATTTCTCTATGTAATACCTTTTTAAGTTCTCATTATTCGATGTAGTACGTAGACCCACCATTTAATTGGAAAAGGGGATTTATTCGGGTGTTTTTTTATAAATTTTTTGGGAAACTAACAGTGTTAGGCGTATATAATGCTGATCTCGAACCTGTTTAATCAGCTCACTATGTAGTTCTAGCTTTCAATTTATCATCATGAATTAAGAATGAAGAGGCCATTAAAAGTTTAATGAAGTATAAATTCACGGTCTCAATTTGAAGGATAATCCTATTAGTTAGAATTTCATTGAAGGTGCTGGCATCCCCCCTTCTTACATTATGTATTTTTAAAAGTTCTGTTACCCCTCAATTTCAGGTGAAAAAAGAGTAGAGAACCAATACACAGACTAGAACTATGGGCATATCTCAGCTGATGGCATTGAAGGCGACCGTCTTACTGTTAGTATTTATTTACTACAGGAAATCTGGCCTGGCATTGATTTTTTTACCCTTTGTACACGCCTCATTAGTAGCATATTTGGTCGCGATCGCTTCTCTCCCTGCTGTGAACCTACCGCTGCTACTGGGAAAAACCTCTGATGGGAGCTTCCCGATTTGGTCAATTATTATGTTCGGCCCTTTTCTTGTTTTTATTCGGGTATTTAACAGATTGAGGAGATTGTACAGTATGGAACCACTCTATTCTGAGATTTCAGAAGGCTTATACGTCGGAGGGTGGCCTTCTTCATTTGGTCATTTGCCTTCCGATGAACTTGCTATTATTGATTGTACATGTGAACTACCGAGAAGCTCTTCTGTCTTAAGGAATGCATATTTATGTGTGCCCACTTGGGATACAAGGGCCCCTCAGCCATTACAGATTGAAAATGCAGTTCGGTGGGCATGCAGGAAGAGGGCTCAAAATAAATCGGTATTCATCCATTGTGCTTTTGGTGAGTAAACTTTTGTTTCGTTTAACTTGAGTCCATCTTAGTTAATAGGTGTATCTTTCAAGTCTACTCTAAGGTACTGTAATCTTGAATAAATGCTTTCTTGCGTGAGATTTATCATGGTAAGATTGACATGGATCATCTTACAGCGATTTGTGAGTTCAATATAAAAAATTTGGAAATAACATATATAGAAGCTGAAATTAAAAGAACATCAATAATGATTTGCCATAAGCTTGTTCGTCGTGATTTAAATTCTTACTATACAAGATGTTGCCTGGATGTAAGAAATCAATTACAGTCTTATGTGGTTTAGATTCAGCTTTCAAGTAAAATGATTCCTAACTTTCAAATAGTTTTGTCCACAACATTTGCAGTAGAAATGCACCCTTGAGAAAATGTCTATGAGGCCCACTTCATCATAAGTTTATGAATCTATGATTGAAATCGTTCTCCTCCTATAGGTAACTTCATCAGAAGCGCCCATGAATTTCGAATTTTCATGCCTATGAAAGCACCTCAGTATAAGTTTGTGATTGAATTCATTTCCCTTCTATACGTAGATTGTCGGTATGTAGATCAGCCGTTGTTAGGTCTTTCACTTGTATATAACTGAGAAATTGATGCAGAGCACAGGAATAACTTTCAATTCATGCTTTATCACTCCTTGGCTTCTATAGTCGTGGAATCATTGTTCCATATATTCTTTCAGCATCATTATATTTTTGGTATTTTAGTTTTCATCTGTGATTCTTGACTCCAGAACTCATAAGAAAGTGACACGTGGTTTAGAAAATGTAATTTTGATGGTTTCTTAAAATGGTTTACATAAAAAGTTGTATCCACATCTTCTTCTGTTATAATTTACTATATTGCTTTCTAATAGCTTACCTCCCTGGAACCTGTTGAGTCCCATTGTGCCATTCCATCAACTTTATTTGGTACATGATGATTCTTTATTCCTCATCTTTCTTCTTTCTTAAGAAAGTCTGCTTGCTCTCCTTTTGTCCCCCTAATGGTGCACCCAGTGATGCACCTCCAGTATGTAAACTAAACTACATGACAGTATTAAACAAACACACAGGAAGTTCTTCAAAAAAGAGCACAACCATTCTAATATTAACAAATGCTATTTGGATTGGGGTCTGCTCGATGTGACTGCGACAATCCGAAGTAGTCCTGGGCTCTGCTAAAATTCTGCATCATGCCAGAGGCAGAAGTTTTGCAGTTTTCTCAGAAGGTAGAAATGCTCTAACATATCATAAATATTGCCTTGCATATCCACCAACCATGAATAGGTTCCTGAGGATGGATCCCGATGGGTGCAGAATAATGATTTGATGTAAGATTTATTATCTTTTTTCTGACAATATTTTGCTTGATGTTTGATGGAATTTTCTACAGGCCATGGAAGGAGTGTCTGTGTGATGTGTGCACTTCTAGTTGCACTCGGATTAGCTGAAGATTGGAAAAGTGCAGAGAAGATGATTCGAGAAAAGCGACCTTATATCAGAATGAACTCTCTTCATCGCAAAAACCTGGAAGAATGGTCAAAGTATCGGCTTTCATCACCAAGAGACGGAGAATCGGTTGTTAGTTCTGTGATTAATGCTTCTAAGAAACAGTGATAGAATTGGTTCACTGTTTGTACCAAATTGGTCTTTCGAACAAGACTCTTGTTCATTGATGAATCTCAAAGATTCTTCCAAAACTTTAGAGAGCATCTGTTGTTGTTTTCATGTTAGTTAATGGAGGTTCTGTAAATTTCTTTGTGGTTATTCACGACAAGAAATTTTCTTTTAAATTGTTTTATTTTATATATTGCCCGTTTAGGTACTTGAAGTTCAAGAAAAGGCTCGGTTATTTCAATGTGAAAGCCCATTTTTTTTTTTGCCTCCCTGATTTTGGTATACACTTAAGAATGACGTGATTTATCATTCTGTCAATCTTCTAGGAAACTTTAGGGTTCAACTACTATTTTTCCAATTGAGGGTTGAAATTATTTATTAACCACGGGAAAGTACAGTAGTGTTAACGTCACGTGCCTTGTTTTGCTCGCCAAATAACAAGTACTCTTCACTCTTCAGGCTATTTGGCGAGCAAAAGAAGAGCTAGTTTCCATCAGATCATAACATTTAGATTTATACTAGACACTAATAAAGACTAATATTAATATTGGTTGTCAATCCCAACCCATAATACATATGAAATATATTGTTGCTAGGATTCAACACGTAACATAGAATCAAAAAATCAATGTTCATTACATATAACTCAATTAAGATATTGCATGAGATAATATATTATCATTTGAGAAAGAAAGGAAAGATTTTGGGAAAAGAAGGATATATCCATGACCAAACTCTGGAACATGGTAGTTTTAATTCCATCTCTCAATACATCCATGATCATACCACTATACCCTCAACTATTGGATGCATAAAATCCAGTTAGTTTAGCAGCATTTGCGTAGTGAGTTATTGAGATATTTGCACGTGCATTTGAAAATGCAGTCACATAACAAGGAAAGAGGTAAAGAAAACAACATTCTACAAGAAAGCAGCAGCATTACAAGTACAAGGTGACTTCAAATTGCATCTCTTTCAATCGAAAAAGGAAAAAAAAACAAATAAATATTTTGACTACCACTGGCTTTCAATGTTGATGATGCCACTAGAAGCTTTTGATATGGCAAAAGAATTAACAGTTTCTTCAAAAATATAACCCTTACAGGAAGGCCGGCACAAAACAAATACCATGTATTCCCCCATCACCATAGCAGTTGACAAAAAAAGTTTTGAAGACCCGAGAAAAAAATAGCAGTACAAGTATCTATGCTTTCTGTCGCAGTTCTCACTGAAATGGTGAATAATATACAGTTTCAAGCATTTATAAGCAGCGTCAATGCTTCCCCTGATGTATTATGCTCAAGAATAGAAATATCTGCAAGTTAACGTCATCGGCAGCTGCTTTGGTAATTGTGGTAACAGCACAATCTGCAGAGAATTATAGGAACTCTCATCAGTCAACTCCCACTTTGTGGTACTTAAAGCTTCGGAATACATGTCAACCTCAAAAATACTTCAAATAAGAATGGCAATCATAAACCAAAGAAAGACAACCTTGACTATGCAGATCGCTTCGACTTCAGCAAGATCCAGCATCAAAATCGTATCATGCTAGATCAACTTTGACAAATCCAATTTTTGATAACGAAATGAACTACACTGGCCCTATTTCTACTTTTGATTTTTCCATATAAATACCATTTAGCCATTATTCTGACATCATATCATCCATGTCAATATGTGTTTGCTGAGGTCGATCATTACTGATTAAATAAAACCGTCAGAAATGCACCCAAATCATAGTTCCAGTCTACCCTTACGAGATAGAATACAAGGTTAGTTCTGTTTTTGATGCAAGCCAAGTTCTTTCTTCTTTGTCTAGAGAGCTTATGTGGTCAGATGTAGCAACGACTTGCTACTTGACAATATATCTTGGTCATTCGAGTGTCGACTATGTTTATGCATGCATATCCCTATTGACATACCCTAAACTAAAGACTTACTAGACATATTGGATAAACATAATTTATGTACAGATTGAAAGTTAAACATATAATAGGTCCAAACTTTCATTTGATATGTAAGCATCTTGCATTCATATAGTTTGAAAAATTGGGAGGAGGAAGAAGAAGAGGGAGAAGGGAGCAAGAAAAGAAGGTAAAGAGAAGGCAGTTAGCAGCAACAGCAGAGGAAGAAGAAAAAGAGGACACAAAAACAAAATAGCAGCAGAGCACTGTTGACAGGCACATGCCTTGCTTACACAATGCACTTGCACCTCCTGCAGGATGTTGTCATCCTGCCCCAAACCACTCAATACACGAGGCGATATGCCAGTGCACTTCTACTTATAGGTGATAAATATAAATTATTAAAATATTAAAACGCACGCATGAGTATATAGTTTTATTTTCCTCACATCCACAAGGTATCCCTTGAGGTCCCAGACTCTCTTAAACAGTGACTGCCGTGTTGTTGGAATCAGACTGGACCAAACAGTCAGGCGGCCAAATAAAGAACCGCAATGTGTCTAAGATTCAGATTTCAGAGAGCTAACCAATTCCTATAAATAGCCCAAAGAATCAAAGTAGGCCAAGTGAGAAAAGTGTGTTTTAGCTACCTTCTAGAACTAACCAAATATATTTCTTTTATCTGTCAAACCTGGTTTAGTTGGACAGTAGAACTGAAACAGGTCAATTCACACTAAACCTCAATTACACAATAGGCAGCGGGTCATGGTATGAATTTACGTATGCAATTCGCCGCTTAGTTATTTTGAATTCGAGGGGTCGTGGTATGTTACCAAATTTCTTGGGTGCACTTATTACCATTTTTGAAATGTATAGTAGAAAATAGAACTAGAAAGCTAATTATGCAAACTATGATATTTTCGTGGTAATCACAGTGTAATATACAATACTAGTATGAAACTATGAATTTAGGTACGCAATTGGCTGCTTAGCTATTTTGAATTCAAGGGCACGTGATATGTTTCAAAATTTATTGTGCGCACTTACCATTTTTTGAAGTGTATAGTAGAAAATAGAACTAGAAAGCTAATTATGCAAACTATGATATTTTCGTGGTAATCATAGTGCAATATAAAATACTAGTATGAAACTACGAATCTATTCAAAATTTGTGATTGCCTAAATTATGCATATAATCCATTCAAAATTTTATGTGTGTTTTGGTACTTGATATTATCTATCTTCAGTCATAAGTTAAGATTGTTATCTATTTTATGTGAAACCCCCTAGATATGCTTCTTCATGCTTGTTTCTCTATTATGTGTGATGTGTGCATCTCATTTCACGCGGGCACGCACATCGCCTTGCGCATGGGCATGTAAAGGGACCTCATGTCCCTACTTGTGAGCGGTATGCCAATTATGGAGAACCAATCAGTGTACCAGAGGGAATCCAATTCACAAACATATCGGGCAATCGTACGTTCACAAGAATTTGTAAGATCGGCTTGTATCTCTTGCGGGGGGGGGGGGGGGGTGGGGGGTTATTACGCAACAATGACTCTTAAACCTTGAAAAGAAAGTATTGGATTTCTTAAGTAACACACGGAAAGTCGAGGACAAACTCCTTTAGACATTCACTTTATCTAGATCTAATTTAAATATCTAACAAAAGGCAACTACTGATGTCCCAGCCAACACAATCTAATTTGATGTCTTAGATTCTTAGTTTTGATTTAATTTGATTTGGAATTGATTTGACTTTTATTATGACATAAAAATTAGTCTCGGATTAGTTATTTGTTTCTCGGTAATTGCATATTGTTAGAATATAAATTATAACCCTCAACATTTATCGTAACTTCGGATTTTTGGTGCGGCGAAAGGGATTTGTATCAAATCAATCCTCATTCAAATTCAAATTCCACTGGACACACATCTAAAGCTTTTGATGTAGCGAAAGAGACTTTAACATGGTATCAAAGCAATCCTTGTTCAAATGCCACTAGCCACACATTTAAAGTGTCTTAAAGAAAAATAGAGATACTCTACTATGCAAGCTCAGATGTCCACCCACGAAAAGGGCACTCAACCTGCAGGAGATTGTTAGACTATAAATTACAACCATTGTCACAATTTCAGAGTTTTGGTGTAGCACACAAGAGAGTTTAACACAGATGTGCAGTTGGAGATGCATCAAACTTATTCACACTAATCACTAAACTTACAAACTAATAAATTGTTACATGTTATGCTTAATCATATTATCCACGGGCTATGAAGCACGGACACGACACGGACACGACAAAACCCAAAAAAAGTAGGACACGGCGACACAACTAGATTTTTTAAATATTATTATTATATATAGATAAATTTATAAAATTCAAACAACAAACTAAAATGTAATAGATAAATTTATAAAATTCAAACAACAAACTAAAATGTAATCCTCAAACACAAAATACTAAGCTACTAACAAGTCTAACATCAAACACAAAATACTAAGCTACTAACAAGTCTAACATTGCAAACATATAAAAATTACAAGAGAATAAAAATCAAGTTGCAACTAGTTCCATGACTACAAAATATTAAGTTACTAACATTACAAAAATATAAAAATTACAACCAAAAACGTATCTTAAAAATAAAAATTTCAAGTTAAAACATAAAAGCGATCGTTCTATGGCTTCAACTCCTTCATCCTCCTAAAACACAACAGCCTCCATTGTGGGCTCGTCAAGAAAAAGGACAGCAACATCTAAAATGTCGGCACCTTGAAATGAGTCGAAGACATCTCCACCAATATCCCACATTCTTGATTCCCCTTCCATATACTCTTCCGAACTTCGCAAAAGTAAGCGAAGGTTGGTGTGAACAATAACCCTAATTAAATGGAACTTTAATTTAATTAACAATAAATTCACGTGAAAACAGTAAAACCTTCATATGTATATTCAGAAAGAGAAAGAGAGAGAGAGACGGATTCAGAGAGAGAAAGAGAGAGAAAGAGAATGAGAGAGCGAGAGAGACGAAGAGATCCAGAGAGAGAGACGAAGAGATCGAGAGATCGGGAGAGAGAGACGAAGAGATCGCGTGAAAGAGACAAATAGATCGAGAGAGGGAGACTGACCTAGCAGCGACGAGCCGACGAGGATGAGGACGAGCGGACGAGGACGAGCCGATCTCGAGAGAGAGAGACGAAGGGATTGTGACGGCGTCGGGACTCGGGTAAGTGAAGAAATTAGGGTTTGGGTGTCAGGGCGTTGACGCATGTAGGGGGTGTTGACTGCGTGTCCGACGCGTGTCGAACGCGTGTCTGCGTCCGACGGCCGACACGCGTCAGACACGGACTCGGGGCCAAGTTTCGTGTGTCGGTGCTTCATAGTCCACGGGCACAATTCTTACAACATCAGTTAGTTGCTCCCCCTCCAAGCTCCTAAAAGTAAACCCTGCTTCTACAGAAGTGAGATTTTTTCGCTAATTCAGGAAGAAAAGGAGTATATGATATATATAGATGAAACTGGGACAATCATGATTCTTTTCTAAGTTCTTAACACAAAAGGCAGGGACCATAGAAAATGACTATGCTTCAGTTAATGGTCAACTAGAGAACATAGATCAAACTTTCCACATTTTATTTTTACAATACTGTGTTCATTACGTTTCTTGTTATGCCACTGAAGGAGCAGCATGAATTTCATATATTGCCCAAACAGAATGACATGTTTTTTGGACAAATTTTCAAAACCGACCCCTTTGGGTTTTTAATTGCAAAAAACGACCGGTTTTGAAAATATTTACAAAAACCGACCTGTTTTCAGCCAGGGGCTGAAAACAGGTCGGTTTTTTTAATTTTTTTTGGGAAACTTCACGGGAGTTGAACTCCCGTGAAGTTTTTCTCATAACAAAACTTCACGGGAGTTCAACTCCCGTGAAGTTTGGGAAAAAAAATTTTCAAAAACCGACCCAGTTTCAACCAACTGGGTCGGTTTTTATAAATAAGATTGAAATGGGTCATTTTTTGCAATTAAAAACCCAAAGGGGTCGGTTTTGAAAATTTGTCCCATGTTTTTTGCATGGCTTCTCTAATAGAGAATACTGAGGAAAATAGAGAATACCGAGGAAAGAGAGGTTGAATGACAAATATAAAAACAGGATGCAAAGGAAACAATGACTTAAACTGACTGCAGCAGAACTAATAATGCACACATGAGCCCATGGCTAACCAGGAACAAGTGATAGAGGCCTCATGGTAGCCAAAGAAGGAAGAGAATTAAGTTTACTTACTAAAATAATCTGTTGAGAAATGAACAGGACCAGTGTTGTAGTTAGCAAGCAAGGTAGGGGGAGCAAAAAATCTGTTACGAATTATAAATGTGAGCAAGAGAAACTTAAGACTTCATAGGCTCCCATTGTGCTAGAGAAAATTCACGAAAAGCACGATAAAGAGCAATATTCATCTGAAAGTACACATACATCTGTAGAAAATGGGATACCATACCTGCTCATATAGCTTCAAATGATCAAGAGGATGACCTCCACAAGAGCAGCCACAAATGAAATTACTCATATTCAAATCTCACATCAACTTGTGTAAATTTTCTCATAAGACACACCAGAGATGAAGTGAAATTAGCCAACAACTGTCGTTCTTCGCGGGTTTTTGCTTCTGAAAGAACACCGTGAATGACTAACTTCTGAAGATTTGGGCATCTGTCAATCATCCCAAATACCCAGTGCCCAAAGTGCTCACTTAAAACTGTCCATCCCAATTCCAATATTGTCACATTCTCCAATGATGATGATCCTTGAAGGCCATAATGTTGCAATCCATCCCTTAGATCATAACTTAATGAAAGGTGTCTGAGCTGAGGAAAACAAACAGCGATTGTTTCTGAATCCATGATTTCATCTTCATCATCGAACACCACTCCCCAAAGCCGGAGCCTTTGAAGTTTAGAAGATCTTGATATCATCTGATAAAATTTAGGCCACATAATTGTAAAATTACTGACATCTATGACATCCAAATGATCTGTGCTCTCACCAATATCCAGGTGAGTTACGCTAACATCATCAATCTTGAGATGCTTTAGAGAACCCTTCCCAATTAACTCAAAGAGGTCAAGATTTAGAGCATTCAAGTGCAAGCTCTCCAGATTATCTGCATCCAATATGATTTTATCCACACTCAACTTTCTTGCATATACATGGTTCAGAGTTGAACTGCTCAGCTCCATTGTAGACTGCGAATCCGAAGTCACTATTTCCAGTTCGTCAAGTGCCAACGACTCTATTTTTGGGCAGGCAGCTAGCAAGAGGCTGAGATCCAAAGCCGATATACTCACATGTCTTAAAGAAAGAGATCTAAGAGAAGTAAATTTCTGGTAGCTCGGTTCAATCCCAGTGATAGAGTTATTGTCCAAATCCAAAACCTCCAGCTTCTGTCGACCACATTTCTCCAAAATGTTCACATTTGGCTCTGTACGAACATTATATGACAGGGTCCGCAATGTTTCTCTAGTATACATAAGCCAAGCAATCACAGGAGCTGCTGTGAACTCATGGATACTGTCCATATGAATCCAAAGGCACCGTAAGCCTCTGGTTTGAAATATAGTCTGAGTGATGATGATCTCCAACCTCCTATTATCAAGGTCTCTATAGACAGTCCAATCATCAGAATCGAAACAAAGGGTATGGAGATGTTTTGTGCAGGCTTCCCTCCATTTCCGGCAAGTAGCAGATGCAATTATGACATCACGAGCAGCTCTGACATGGGAAAGAATGTTACCAATGACTTCCACTGGAAGGTTTTCCATCTATACTCTTATCGAAGACGACTTCAGCCTTCCAGTATTACTCCTATTTCAACAAGTCTGAAGATAATCATCAGAAAACACAAGAACCCCATGATGAAGTCCGGACCAAGAAGCTTTTAATGAAGAAGATCTACACAAATAACTCCCGGTTCCAGCATTCCTACAGCATTAACAAGACTATTTACAAATCTAAATTTGGACTCAACAAGTCATTCGGGGTTATAAAAAGGAAAAAAAGCAGGGGAAAAAAACTTTGTCTAGATACCAAGTTGAACTCATTGATTTCCAAATGCCAGCAATGAAGATGAATAAAGATTATATTTCATTCAACCATTCAATCTTATCGTCCAGTTCTCCTAGAAATAATCATGTTTTCTAAATTAAATTGATAACAAATTATAATTTAAATCAAAGTTCATCGAATAAGCAATTTATAAATGAAAACCTATTTGTACTAAGAGGCTCCAGTTTGCAGTAGATCCCATACCAAGATTTGTTTTTTTTAGACTTTCTGGATCATCTAAAGCTATCATTTAACCTAGAATCAGTCATCCAATCGAAAATTTTCTAAAAGCTCCAATTACCTGAAATTACAAAAAAATCAATCCGCCAATTCAAACTACATTTGATATCTCATCAATCATCATGTACCATTCAACCAGAGAAAAAATTGAATCTAAAATGACAAAAAAATTCTAACCATTTTGCGAAGGAATTCAGAATTCAAAGGCAAAAAATACAAAATCCGAAGTTCGATTAACATACCTTCTCGTTCTCGTATCGGTTTCGATCAAGAACGAATGAGGCAAGATTGATCACTGGCGGATTTGAATGAGAGAATTACGAGGCCAAAATTGGGGGAAAAGTTTGGAATGTTTTTGTTGATTTTGAGGAGGAGAAAGAAGAAAAATAAAAGGTCAACATTGGTGGTCTCTCGTTATTACCCCCTCGCCCTATAAACTAGGTTTCCGCTAAGGTCCTGTTTGTTTCGTAAAAAAAATTGCAGAAAGTGGGTGAAAGTGGAGTAAAGAAAATTGATATAGGTGAATTTTGATATTTTCCTCACTTTCAGATGTTTGATTAGCTATAAAAGAAAGTTGGGGGAGAAAATGAGTTGTCACCATATTATTGGATGAGATGAGTAATTTTTTATGTTTTCCTCCGCTTTTCTTGTTTAGGTTCTTTTCTTGTGTTTGGTTCATTCTTAAAACTAAGAAAATAGATGAGAGAATATGAGTTGTCATTATATTATTGGATGATGTGACACATACTTAGGAAAATCAATTTCCTTGTTTTTTTTGAGGAAATGGATGGAAGGAAAATTTTAATGAGATGGGATGAGTTGTCACCATATTATTAGATGATCTGAGTAATTTTTAAAGATGTTAGAAAGTGAAGGAAAATGGGGTGAGGTGAGTTGGATGAGTTGATTGATGTGACACATTTCTTGTGTTTAGTTTATTTTTAAAAGTAAGAAATGAGATGAGATGAGATGGGTTGTCACCATATTATTGGTTGATGTGAGAGATTTGTAAGGATGGAAAATGATGAAAGTGAAGGAAAATGAGTTTTGGAAAATAAAGAAAACGAACCAAACAGACCCTAAGGGTCTGTTTGGTACATTTCCAAAAAAAAACAGAAAACTAGTGTGAAAATCATTTCTGGGTTTGTGATTTTCGGGGTTTGTTTCATCTTGAAATCATAGGCTGCAAAACAATGACTTCCATTTCTTAGGTTTGTTTCAACATCCAAAAATTAAGAAATATCATGAGTTTTCCAATTAAATATTCAGAGACGGGACATTAAATAATATTCTTTACTTTCCGCCGTCGTTTCAATAGTGCTTTGAGCAATATTAAATTCATTGACGAGACATTTCTCACCTATTTCAGATCTAAAAGCTCTGAATAGGTTTTCTCCAAATTTTGGAGTGGCACTGGCACCCCATTTTAGCCCCTTTTCTTTAAATCACTCAGTGAAGCAAACGCTGGAATTGGAAATGTCTTGAAACCAAAATCCTATATGGCTAAGGGGTCATAAATTAAATCGCCCATTTCTCTCTTTATTTGCGCAAACAAACAGCCCCTAAAATGTACTCTCAGTGCGTATAATTTATTTTATTCCTTAATTGCAATTTGGTACCCAAAGCTTCATTTATGTTGAACTTTGATACCCTAAAGTTTATTTTTGCCCATTTAATACTCCGCAGCTTCACCCGTTTTGAACTTTAATACCCTAAATTTTTTTTTTCTCCTTTTGGCACCCCAATGTGTTAGAAAATTGAAATTTAGTACTCTCTGTTTGCAAAGTACTTTTTTTTTGCTAATTTCAGACTACACACTGAACACATGATCCGCTTTGAAATCTTATACACATTGTCATTAAAAACGACCCTGAAATGAGTAGAAATTGTCAAACTCTTTAATCATACATCTTAATTTGGAATGTTCACTACATTTCTTCTGCCCATTTAATGGGCGTGTATTATGACAACTTGAGTATAAAAATCCCAATGAGATCACATGGTAAGCATTTGATCTGAATTAAAAAAAATAAAGAGTCCTCAAACATTAAGGCATAAAATTGGCAAAAATAAAATTTGAGAGATCAAAACTCAAAATGAGTGAAACTTGAAGGTATCAAATGAGCAAAAGTAAACTTTGAGGTATCAAGGTTCAAAATAGGTGACACGTTGGGTACCAAAGTGCAATTAAGCCTTTTTTAAAGCTTATTTGCACTTTAGTACCGTAATGTTTCACCTTTTATAACAATTTGATGCCAAAGTATTAAAGGTTGTCGTTAATTGTGTTAAAGAATATCACAATAGAAAAAGTAGAGGGGAAACAAATTTCTTACCACCTTCAAGTTAGTCACGTTAGGACTTTGAGGTATGAAATTGTCAAATTAACATCAATTTGAAAACTATACCGTATCAAATTGTGAAACTTAATGTTAAAGAAAACTATACCGTATCAATTTGAAAACTGTACCGTATCAAAGTACTAGCTGATTGTACCGTATCAATTTGAAAACTATACCGTATCAATTTGAAAAATGGTGAAACTTTGAATCTTAAAGTATTAGCTGATTGTACCGAAAAAAATTATTGTTCGCTGAGTTTTGTTTTAAATAATATTGTTAGCTGAGTTAACCCGGTACGGTAAAGCTATAATTTGCATGATTAAGACATTTTAATGCCCGAAACACATATTCTTTCAGCACTAATTTTGACCACTTCCAAATATATTAATCCCAAATTATTAAAAACAAATGATATGTTTGTTTTCATGTATTTTGCAGGTTTTGTATTAAAAAGTGGGACTCACAAATTTAAAAATCCTAGGTTGTTATCAAATATATTATTTGTTTGTGACTTTTCATCCCTCGAGTTTGAGGTAACGTATACAATAGATGCATCAAATTCAAATGTGATCCCCCTAAAATTATGATGATTTTACTTAGATTTATGATTTCAGTTACATATACTTAACAAAACATCTGTGTAACCAAACGATTTTCGATTGAATTTTATCCTTACGCAAATATAATTTAATATCTATTACAAAATAAAGTATGTATTTTTTTAAATCCATACTATGCATAAAAAACAATCCACAAACCAAACAGCTCCAAAAATATACACATGAATATAGCTTGGATTCGGAGCTCAAATGCTCAATGTCCGTGTTTGATAAAAAAAACTACTGTCGAAGTTTGATTGGAAATGGATGGTACGCTATAATCACTAAATAGTTTGTGGGAAGAAAAATTGCTTTTAACCTTATTTTTCTCTCTCTTTGCAGCAAAATAAGAAAAAGCATATTAAAATCATTTTAGCTGTTGATCAATGATCATGATGTTCCCTACATTGTTTACAGAAATTGCAACGTGGTACTGAATATACTCCAATATCCATCACTAAGAGTCTGTAACTTATTATATGTAGTGGCCACTTTGCAGCCAAACATTATTATTATTTGTTGGTATTATCCCGTGCGGACTTTTCGAATTATTTCCCTCACATGAAATATGAAAGTTCTTTTTACATCACTAATCTGTTTGTTTGCCTAAAAAAAATGGGAAATCAAAGAAATGAAAAACTATTTCTAAGAAGAATTATTTTGGGAGTGTTTGGTTTGTTAAAAAAAAATCAAAGAAATGGAGATGAGATGAGATGAGTTGTCACCTTTTATAGGATGATGTGAGTGATTTTTTAAGAAAACTTGTTTTGATGTTGTTTGGTTGGCGAAAAAAATAAGGAAATGAATTATAAGAAACATATTTCTTGTAATAGGTTATTTTCTTTTGTTTGGTTCATTCTTAAAAATAAGAAAATAGATGAGATAAGATGAGTTGTCATTATATTATTGGATGATGTGACCCACACTTAAGGAAATTATTTTCCTAGTTTTTTGGGAGGAAATGGGTGAAAATGAGATGAGATGAGTTGTCACCATCTTATTGGATGATGTGAGTGATTTAAAATAATGAGATGAGATGAGTTGAGTAATGTTGTGGATAAAAATAATATTTTATTAGATGTGGTTGATGAGTTGTTGGATGAAAATAATATTTTATTAGATGTGGTGGATGAGTTGTTGGATGAAAATAATATTTTATTAGATATATTTTGTTAGATATGACGAATGAGTTGTTAGATAAAAATAATATTTTATTAGATGTTGTGAGTGAGTTTTAGGGATGAAAATGGATGAAATTGTACTTTTTGAGTTTTCTTGGTTTTCATTTCTATTTCTTGGTTTTTTTTGGAAATAACCAAACAGGCTTCAGCTTATTGGTTACTCAAATTTATGATTCAGGGATGTACTTCTTTTGTAATAAAATACGTTAAGAAATGACTTTTCTTGCACAAGGCTTCAGCTTATTGGTTACTCAAATTTATGATTCAGGTAAACCAATAAATATTTGGTTGCGATCCATATATACATAGAAAATAACGAAATAGAATTGCCAGTCTTTCTTCTCTTAATACTATGATTTTTATCCAAGGATATGCTTCATGGATAATTTTAAGTAAAAACATTAATCATATTTCTTTCACTCCAATTTTAAAATTTGTCAAATAAAAAGTAGCAAGAAAATTTTACTCTAAAAGTTTAAAAGCATCCCTAGTAACTCTTGTTTTATTACCATGTAGCATAAAATCTACAGAAGAGGCCACCATACACTTGCATAGTTGCACGAGGGGAAAAATGGTTTCCGCCTCTAATGTATTGTTTAGTAAATAAACGAGGGTCACAATATCCGACAAGACAACTTTTCTGTAAAAATTTAGAACTTTATTATTTCTGTTTTGTTTGCAATAATTATTAAATGAAAAGTAGATGTTAGGTTTTACTTTTCACTTTTTTCAAAAATGGAGCTCACTTGTGACAGGAGAGAAGTTTTGAGAGATTTTTCCTAGCAAACTTTTCATTAAAACAAACAAGAAATTTTGACACAAGAAGATAATAACGAGTATTGTGTGAGAACCACCTTTTCTATGGAAAACAAGCACCAGTGAACTGGGTCTACACTTGATGAGAAAATACAAAATGATCTCCGGTCCATGACATTAAATTCGCACAAAGAACATGTTAATCCTTAAATCATTAAAATTTGGAATTTGTGCATGAATCTACTAGTTGATATCCATTTGATACGTATTAAATATCATGAACCATCCCCACTAGATAGATACATGGAGAACTTTTGATCAGTACAAATCATAAGAGAACTTAGAGACTCAACATAGTTGATCCAAAAGATATCTTTTCTGTACCATCACGTATGCAACCATGCAATATAATCCAATACACTAGAAAAATCCCCTAGCTGCGTTTTATGGTCATTGCTTAACGCAATCCATAAAGTCCAGCTGCAAGAAAATAAATACATGCTCGCATGTGACATATCTCAAAAGTTAGGCCCTGGACCAAATCAAATCCTACAGCACCATTGCCCCTCACAATCCAAAGATACAATCTCTCCTTAAAGCCACTGCAGCCACAAAACATTGAATCTCAATATATGGAAATAACACCCCACCGTGTCCTCTCTTTTCCCCACCTATCCTTCAATTTATACTCTCTTCCCTCTTTCACAACTCTTCAACCAAAACAAAACAACAGAAGTAATAGCCGAAACAAAGAAGCGAAATCAACACGCCAAATCAAAGCAACAAAGAATTAAAGTCTCCAGTGGGGAGCCTTCAGCCTGAGCTGAGCACTTTGAAGTCCAAGAAGCGAGAGGCTATCGAAGAAGAAGACACCGTGCCAGAGAGGATAAAGAAGCATAGGAGACAAATGGCAGGTAGAACTCGTGTACCTGATACCTGGGGAAATGAAAGCATGCTCAAGGCATGGACAGGCTTGGTTTCAAATATCGATAGCTCCTTAGAACCTGAAGCAATTTTGTTGGCCCGGAGAGCGCTGGTGGCTGCTTGCGGGCGTCCAGAACAGAGATCAAGTGATAGATATTAATAAGAGATCAGAAGAGATGCAGCCTGATCATATTCACACAGATATTAAGCTCATATTTTCTGTTTTGTATTGTTTCCCCGCTTTTTTCCCTCATAAACTGACTGGCTGTATAAGAAAATCCCTGTATTTAGCTACCAGGGATTTCCCTAATAGGCTCTAATGTACAATGTTTCTGAACTAGAACATAGTTTAAGGTGAATGAGATTGTTTTATGGAGATTAGCTTCTATATTTGAAAATCTTACAAGAAAATTGCAGCAGGATATTATTGGGACACTTCAATTAGTTCCCATATCTTTATTGTGCCATCATCACTTGCAGAGGCTAGCAATCTTGGTTCCTGAAAGCCAAAAGCATATGTTTAGAGCTCAAGATAAAAGTTCCTTGTTTCTAATGATCAAAACCTGAAAAGGGAAGATGCAGCGAGATCTGTGGTGAGATGGTGAAGACTTGTATGTGTAAGCAGGAGAAGGTCACCTTTGGGCTCCACTGTACAGAGTTCACATCCATGTCATGGGCCTTTTCCTTCTTCAGCAACATTCTGTAAGATAGCCCATCAACCTGCAGCTCGATACGATAAGCCAAGAGCTTTTATTTCATGCAAACCATTAATTTGTAAAGGGAGTGGAAAGACCCCCTTTTCTATCACGTTACTGAGGGTAGACCCCCAGTAGTTCTATGTTGCATACAGATACCCTGAGTGAATTTATTTTGACTTTTTTACCCATGGAGAGAGAGAAATTTGCTTTTGAGAAATAGACCTCCCGAGGGTAAAATAGTGAAAAAGATTCACTCCGGGGTCTATCTACAACAATAGAACTGCAGAGGGTCTATTCACAATTGGGTGATAGTTAAGCGGTTGTATCTGAAATGAACCCTTTTGAAAATAGTCTGTATCGTTTCAAATGCTAACTGATGAACATTGTGGAAAACATCACCCAAGAAGGTGCAGGTTGAAGAACCATGATTTAAGATTTTTCCACGGAAGAGGAATCCCAAATGGCATGCATTCTCACATCAGAAAATCCTAGTAAGTACCAACCTTTTGCGTACGATATGAAGGCCACAGCACGATAAAAGTTTGAGCAGTGGAATAATTACAAAATTGAATAGTTCTAATATTCCAGCAAATGAAAATCAAGTGGAATTAAAGATTCTATGTCTGTATTGGATAGAAAAGGAGCTGTCGGAACAAACTTTGCCGCTACATTGGTATTTTCCATTCTCCATCAGCAATAGTGAACAATGTTACATGGAATTGGAATTTGTAGACAAACACTAAGGCAAAGGCGGTAGTGTTTGCAGTAAAAAAAGTAGGTTCCAACTCAGTGTATAAAATATTTCTGTTCCCTAAACTGCCGTCAAATTATTGTTGCAACTATAAATACTACATCACGAAAGTAAAACAATTATATTAGTATTTAATTAACAATAAGCACCAAATGTTGCGTGATGCAACCAAATCATGGACATGGAGCTCATTTCTTTTAGCTAAGTTGCATGGAAACGGGCACGAGTACTGGTACGGGTGCAGGTACGGGACACGACAAAACTGTAAAATGTAGGGTACGGGGACACGACTACATATATATATATATATTGAATTAATACTGTACATAAGAAAATTTTTCCCCTTCATGTGTCATTAGAATTAAAATTCCGATCACATTTTTGAGTTTCTTTTATCATATTGATTATCGTGAATTGTAAACTACTCATTTTTTTACTAGACATCTAAACGACCCATTAACTATATAGTTTTAAACTTGGGTATGGACTGAAACGAATCCGACCCGTATCACATTAGTTTCAAAAGACGGATGTGAAGTGTAAGCTCTACGTCCAAGAAGTCTTTGACAAGTGTTTTAAATTAACACATATATCGTATAATTGAGTACATGTTGTAATAAATGCATGCATATATTCAAGAAGTGTCCATGAAGTTTGGGTACGGGAAAGTGTCGGGTACATGTCCGGTACGAGTACGGTTTCATTTTAGAAGTACCCGGGTAACATAGCTTTTCAGAAAAACCTAAACTGTAACTGTTGCATTTCCACTGCAGCACTTCAAACGAGCCCCCTGAAAATGCGTTCCAAGAAAGCAAGAAGAAAAAGAAGGGAGGAGAGAACAAGCGGATTGCTTTCATGTTACACAAGCATTGTGCCCGTGTTCGCACGGTGTGGGTCTTGTTTCTTCGTTCTTGTGTGGATAGTTTTTATTTCAAAATTTAAAATTCAAATGTAGGGAGGGAAATGTTGCAGTTTGTTGAGATGTAAGACTAATACTAAACCACAAATCTTATCTCTTTTTACATATAAAAGGGGTGTAGAGAATAGAGAAAACCCTAATAGTTTATTGAGAATAACAAGAGAGATATATATAGCCATACAAATAGGGTTAAGGTTAACGGGTAACAGTCCATTAACCCAATACCTAATATTTAACTTAACACTCCCCCTCAAGCTGGAGCATAGATGTCTACCATGCCCAGCTTGTCACATATAGTAGAGAACACCTTTGAAGAAGTAGCCTTGGTAAGAATATCGGCAAGTTGTTGTGAGGACGGAGTGAATATGAGAGATACTATCTTCTTCTCCCAAGCATCTCTGACAAAATTACAGTCAACTTCAATATGTTTTGTCCTCTCATGAAACACAGGATTCTGTGCAATATAAATAGCAGACTGGTTGTCACAATGCATTGGCATGGGTCCAGGCTGAACAAAACCAAGCTCTATCATAAACTTTCTTAGCCACACCATCTCACAAGCAGTGTGAGTCATTGCTCTATATTCGGCCTCTGCACTAGATCGTGATACTACATCTTGTTTCTTGCTTCTCCAAGTCACAAGATTACTTCCAACAAAAGTACAAAATCCTGAGGTTGACTTCCGGTCTCCCATGTCTCCTGCGTAGCCAGCATCAAAGAAAACCGAAATGTGAGTATGCCCATGCTTTTTATATAACAATCCTTTGCCAGGGCAACTCTTGACATATGCCAAAATCTTCAGAGCTGCTGTCCAATGAACCTCTCTAGGTTTGTGCATAAACCTGCTCAATACACCTACTGCAAAAGTAATATCAGGTCTGATAACTGTCAAATATATTAGTTTCCCAATTAGTCTCCTATATCGTCCAGCATCATCTAGGAGAGAGGTATCATCACGCCACAAATCAACATTTGCCTCCATTGGAGTGCTTGCAGGTTTGCATTCCAAGAGACCTGCTTCTTCTAGTAAATCTAGCACATACTTTCTTTGGGACAACAACAGGCCATGTTTTTGATATGCAACTTCAATCCCAAGAAAATACTTTGGCTTTCCCATGTCCTTAGTGATAAAATGACGGTTTAGATACTCCTTAGTCTCAGTTAAGGCAATAGAGTCACTCCCAGTCAGCAGAATATCATCAACATATACGGCTAAAATAACCAAACCAGTTGTTGTGCGTCGAAGAAAGACAGAGTGATCAGACTGACAACGTTGGAAACCAACATTAGAAATAACCTTGCTGAACTTATCAAACCAAGCTCGAGGACTCTGCTTTAACCCATAGATGGCCTTTCTCAGCCTGCAGATAATATTCTCCCCCTGAGCAACATACCCAGGAGGTTGCTCCATATAAACCTCCTCGTCCAAATCACCATAAAGGAAAGCATTCTTCACATCTAGTTGGTGCATCGCCCAATCCATATTAACGGCCAGAGAGAAAATAATTCTGATGGAGTTGAGACGAGCAACGGGAGAAAAGGTTTCAAAATAGTCGACGCCATATGTCTGGGTATAGCCTTTCGCAACCAGGCGAGCTTTATAACGGTCGACAGACCCATTGGGACGATATTTTAGGGTATACACCCATCTGCAACCAACCACAGTCGCTCTAGTATGAAGAGAAACCAAGTCCCAAGTCCCTCTAGAAAGTAGTGCATTCATTTCCTCATCCATGACCTGCTTCCAAGCTGGTACTAACATAGCTTCCTCATATGACCTAGGTATAGATACAGTGGACAAGGACAAGGTAAACTGATGAAAAGATGGGTTGAGACGGTTATAAGAGACAAAAAAAAATATAGGATATTTCGGGCAAGACCGTTTACCTTTTCGAAGAGCAATAGGGATATCCAAGTTAGAAGGAATAGAGGTCTCAACATGAGATGGACCGACAGCTGGAGATGAATGTTCAGCAGTAGCAGATTCAGGGGCATGTACTTTTGGACGGCGAGAGTATGTCAGTAGAGGCTTCGGTGCAGGAGCAACAGGAGCAAGTAATGGAATAGTAGTAGGAGCAGAAGAAGGTAGTGGTACCCGTGGACAGCCAATAGTAGTGGAACCAGACGAAAAATATGGGACATACTCAAAAAAGGTAACATCAGCAGACACAAAATATTTCCTGATAGACGGATGATAACACCTATATCCTTTTTGAGTACGAGAGTATCCAACAAAAACACATTTGATGAATCTAAATGACAACTTATCCAAACCAGCAGTTAAATCCTGAACAAAACACGTAGAACCAAAGACACGGGGAATCATAGAGAATTGTTTTTTATCAGGATAAAGACAATTGAATGGTATTAAACCATCAAGGACAGAGGAAGGCATGCGATTAATCAAATAATTTGTAGTGAGAACAGCATCAGACCACAAATACTTTGGAATATTTTAAATGAGGCAACATCTAGAATATGCCTATGCTTCCTCTCAGCAACTCCATTTTATTGTGAAGTGTGAGAGCAAGAACTCTGATGAATAATGTCATTAAGAGCATAAAATTTTAAAACATCACTTTTCATATATTCCAAAGCATTATCAGTACGAAGAATACGAACAGAAGTAGAAAACTGAGTTTTTATTTCATTATAAAAGAGTTCAATAACGTGCGAGACCTCTGACCTCTCTTTTAACAGATAAAGCCACGTCATGCGAGAGAAATCATCAACAAAGATAATAAAATATCGAAAACCTTGCACAGAGGGAACACGATAAGGACCCCAGACATCGGAATGAACCAACTCAAAAGCAAAACTACTACGTTTATCGACTCGACTCTGAAAAGTAGCACGATGGTGCTTACCCAGTTCACACGACTCACAACCTAAAGATGAAATAGATGGCTGAACAGAACTACCGATCTAAGTTTTTGTAGTGAATGATGACCCAGATGCCAGTGCCACAATAAAGTGGAGTCAGACTGTGATGCAACAAGGCCAGCTTCTGGCACACTGTCGTCCAAATAGTACATACCTCCTTTTTCATGCCCCGAACCAATCTTCATCCCAGTTGCTAGGTCCTGAAAAACACAATAAGATGGAAAGAAGGTGACTTTACAATTATTTTGTTTTGTAAATTTGCTAATGGATAATAGGCTAACAGGGAATTTGGGAACATATAACACATCAGTTAGTTTTAAAGAGGAAGTAGCATGAACTACTCCATCACCACGAACTGGAGAAAGAGTACCATCAGCAATGCGGATAGAAGGAAACTTATCAGAAAGATGTAAAGATACAAAGTGATCCTTTATACCTGTCATATGAGATGAGGCTCCAGAATCTAGTACCCAGGGTTTGTGAGAAGAAGCTATGTAAGCATCCATACCTGAAGAGGATGCATGAGTAGTAGAATGAATATTCTGAGAGAGTTCTAGCTGGCGCAACCTCTCATAATCTGCCTGAGAAATCTGAACAGTAGGAGCAGTAACAGCTGGTCCATCAGAAGTAGTAGCAGAAATAGATGAGTTAGTCGACTCTGTATCAGCTACCTGGGCCCACTGAGGACGACCAAACTTCTCCCAGCATTTCTCAGAAATATGATTGATTCTCCCATAATGACCACACTGTCGTGAGCCCTTATCAGATTCACCTTGCCTCCCACCAAAGGAACCACGTCCTCCCCCTGAATCACGACCACGACCACGACCGCGGCCTTTGCCTCGATTAGAGAACATGACAGACTGATCCATCGTAGGTGGAGATGGTGTAGTAGTATCAGAAGTAACACCAGTAGAGACCTGCATGACTCTGAAGAATATAGCAGTCAGTGAGGGAATTGTATCTCCACCCAATATCTGTCCTCTTACCTGGGACTGTAAATTAGAGTTCAATCCAGAAAGAAATTTGGATACTGCCAGATCACGTCGATACCCTAATAGCGTCGCTGCATCAGCTACTGCAGGCTGATGCATCTCTAGTTCGTCTATCAGTCCCTTTAATTCACCAAAGAATTCCGGAACTGACTTATCTCCCTGTTTGAACGCAAACAATCGTTCATAAATTTTAAATACGCGAGAAACATTCTTCTCGTTCCCGTACATAATCTTTAGGTTGTCCCACATCTCCTTCGCAGTGGTTAAAAACATAACGCTGCTACTGATCTGTGCTTCCATACTGTTGAGAAGCCAAGTCATAACACAATAATCAGATGAAAGCCATGAATTGTAGGTGGGATCTGAGGTTGGTGGTGGAGATGCAAGAAGATGTGGTAGTTTGCTCTGAGCGCCAATGAAGATACGGAAAGCTTGTGCCCAGAGCAGATAGTTTGCACCATTCAATTTAATAGTAGCCCCCAAGACTACCTTAGGCGCAAAGGTCTCACCAGCAACAATAGGAGTAGTAGAGGAGGAGATGTCCGACATCGAAGTAGTAGTCATTTTTATTTTTGAGCAACAATAGGAGACAAATAGTAGTCAAATAGGCAGATTAGTAGTAGAGATCCGTTTTCGAAACATGAACTAATAGCAGATCAGGAGCAGGATTAGAGGCAGAGTCGTAGATAGTCATGCCCTCACGTTGCGTAGGCGAGATCACCTGAGGGAGAGAGCCCTGGTTTTTGTTTGCACAAAGGCTTAATTTCTATATTCTTGTTTCTCGAAGGAAACAAGAATAAAAGTGAAATATCTCAACAACGTGAGATAGTCACTCTTCCTCTCATCAGTTCTACGACTGAAATGTCGAGGCTTCCTCTCATCAGTTCTATGACTGAAATGTTAAGGGATACAATCGTCCTCTCATCAGTTCGAAGACTGAGATGTCGAGGGAATAGGCAACACGATGTAGGGGGCACTGTAGCACGGTCCTGTAGCGTCGGTACTGTAGCAGCAGGCGGCGGTAC